GTGTTTTTATGTGCAGTCTTTCATTTTGCTAATTCCTAATTGACTTGCACTGCCTTTATCCTTGGCATTTAACATTGACATTTCAAATGATTTTTGATGGACTCTGAGGGTCCATGACCTAAATAAACTAGTGCCATTAGAAAGGGGTTAAATCCACAGACTCTGCATGAAGATTTGCAAGGCTTCTTGGGTTCAAATCCCAGCTCTGCCCCTAACTGTAGGACCTTGTGCACATTATTTAAAAACACTCTGTGCTTTGGTTTCTCCCAAGCAAGGTGAGAAAAATAACAGTATCTGTTTTATAGGCTCATTATAAAAATAAACTGTATTTATTAACAGTATAGAATACTACTTGTCAAATAGCAGGTGCTTGTAGTTTTGCATTTTGATGAGGTAAATGTTTTAATGTCCTGGGCCCTGAAACTAGCATGGCACATCCTCTTAGTGAGTGTAACAACCACTCAGCATCCAGAATCTTTCTCGCTCCTATTCCATGCATATACTCAACTTTGCTTTACTATAATTTTGAGAGGATTTTTTATATTCCAGTTGTGTTTGAGAATTTGATGTGTCCTCAAATATAACCCTAATAAATGATAAATGTATCATTTTCTCTAAAATGATAATATGTTTGCCTTTTACAACAGCATTTGATTTTCATAGCTCCTAGATTTTCTCTAGGTGTGTGTGTGTTGGGGAGGGGCATTCATTGGGGATAATCAACCTAAGTTTTTCTTTAGGAGTGGTTTTAAACTCCTTTGTAAATCTAATGTAAATTATAGTCTATCTCCCAGTAGAAAAAAAAAATCACTGACATTATAACTATGCGCACCAACTGGTCTTTTGGTGTATTTGCTGTAGGCCAAGAAACTGGAGTAAGGATTATTGAAGCCTTTTTTTTTTTTTGACAAGTTGCTGTATTTAGGAAAAGGGGAAAAGACAGAGAGAAAAAAATTCAGGATACCACAAAATATTGGAAGCAAAAATGGATTTTAACAAATGAGCTCTCACTTGTACTACTGGGAATAATTGTTAGTTTTTAAGAAAGGAATGACACAGACTCAAAAGTGATTGAAAAACATGTAAAATAGTTTAGGTCATTATTTAAACTTTTTTTTTTTTTATGGAGAACCAGGGATGGGGGTGGCTGCAAGGATGTCCTCTATAAGGCTGACTGACTTCTGAACATGTAGAATTGGGGCTTTATTCACCCCACATCTACCAGAGAAGTGTTGCTTTCATAAATATTATTTTTTTTAGGCTTCCAAATAAGACCACATTTGAACAAAGAGTTTATAACTTAAAAAGGATTGCAAACCAGTCTTCTAGGTGATTTTCCATGAAGATAATCACAAACTGATAGCATCTCAACCTGGATAATCAGAATCTGAGAAAGGTTGTATTGGTAGATATACAACCTTATAGGGTGTGACAAGCATGACCCCAGAGAGGTTTATCTTATTCTAAATATATAAAAGTATGGGGGCTTCCATGAAGGCACAAAAAGGTAGATTTAGAATTAGTACAAATATTAACTAGCAGAAAGAATTAAAAATTGAATACCCTAAATTGTAGAAGAGGTTGCATATGAAATAGCTGCCAAATTTTTAGGTAAAACCGCAGTCAGTTACTTAGAACAAATAGAATAGTTGTAGAGATATCCTTGTTAAGGTTGATGTTAAACAGGTAAAATGTTTTCCACAAATCATCTTTTGATTGCAGTTTAAGAAAC